CCCTGTACAGGGTCGCTATGGGTTGGTACAACTCAACGGCACTTAACAACAACATATTTAATAAAAATAGTGGATCAAATTGGCAACAGCAACTTGAAAGATGGCACAGGAAGCTTAGAAGGCAGTGAGTTTATATTAAGGAGGAAAAAACAACTTAGAAAAGGATAAGAATGCACAACTCCAAGAACCAGCTGGACTGGTGTGTGTTTTGCTGTGTAGATTCTCAACAACAACAAAATAAATAAAATTTAGAAGAGAAAAATTCAGAAAGGTCTGTACAATGCAGAAATCAGAGTCTCCAGCCACAAGGTTCAGCACAAAAGAGCTAACCTGTGGATCCGGAGCTCCACAGCCGGGTGTGAATTTCAGTAAGCAGAAGAATGCCTGGCAACATGACAAGGAACCAGGGAGAGTGCTTTAAGTCGCAATCATGGCTAAAAGGAGGTTATGCCGATTTAAGAATATGAGAATCAGAGGAAGGGACTACAGGAAGGGTCAGTAATGGGAAGGAGGGAGGCTTCTCTCTCTGAGAGCAAAGACCAGGCGAAGCAAGACAGACTGAACAGAGGCACGTTAACGGTATAGAGGCATGGTCTTCGGGTAAAGAAAGATTCCTGATAAGCACAGGTGATCACTGAGGTGAGGTGGGCATCTGAGAAAAGTGCACAGGACGCTTGAAAATGAGAAGAGAGCCAGGGGAAAACACGGCAGCTCAAATGCTGCCTTCTCTGTGAAGCCAACCCTGATGGTCCAGTCAAAATCCATCCTCCTCTGTTTCTGCTCCTGTAACGCTGTTCTTAGGCCTCTAATTTAGTACAGTCTGTCTGTCCTCTGAGACAATCTGCTCCTAGAATGGAGGAACCTCCACTTCCTGGCCGTTTTATGCTCCCAGAAGGGGCTGGTTCATCTTAGAAACCGGTACTTCAACTTTTAGGAATAAAGAAAATTATAACAAAATACAGTTCTTTCTCTTCCAATTCAAAATAAGAGTCAACACTTACCCAGCCATCAAGATTGCAAGCAGCTTCGGCCTTGTCCAGCATGCCCCTTTTGTAAAAGGACCCAGCCGAATGAAATGTTCCCACCCCCAATTTCAATAGTTAGGTTTCAGTTGATGGTTTATTTTCTTCACCTTGAGAATAACAGCCTACAGCTGACATGGCTTTACACTTTCCCAGTATCAGCTGGGCTCCTGGTGTGGTGCTAGAAGATCACCACTGGACTGCGAACCACAAGGTCGGCAGTTCAAACCCACCAGCTGCTCCTCGGAAACCCTAGACGAGCTCGCTGTGAGTCAGAACTGACTCGACAGCACTTAACAAGTATTAGTTGTGGGAGCTCAGCGGCTCCATACAATAAGCACCAGACTGCAAACCACAAGGTTCACAGTTCAAGCCCACCAGCCACAATATGGGAAACAGATGAGGCTTTCAGCTCCCATGAATATTTAAAGCCTTGGCAACCCTAAACAGGATTGCTATAAATCGGAACCTACTCAACGGCACTTTACAACAACAAGTGTTAGCTAACTTTGTCCTGCTAACATAGCGGGTTACAAGGTTGGCTGCTGACAGAAAGGAGAGAGAGATACGAGAGCTGGACAAACAGGAAACTTTCTGCTCCTGTAAAGACTTACAGCCTCGGAGAAATTCTCTACAGAGTCATTAACAACAAAATTACTAGTAGCACGTTTGGTTTCTCTGAGGATTATTAGGTGTATATTTTAGGGACTACAAGTCGTGGCCATAATTATACTTGTAAATACTTTTTCCTTAAAGAAAATAATTATACTCTAACGGCACTTAACAAAAAGCATACCAAAACACTGGGCCAACAAGACCTCAAAGTTCTCAGCTAGATTGTGCTTAGCCCTCTCCTGATCATCCCTCCTCATTCTTCGACACTGAGCCGCGGGGTCACTTCCCCAACGTTCTCAGATTCGCCTGTACATAGACAAATTCTCATCACAATACATTCGCAGTGTATACTATCAACTCCCTGGGGTCAATATTTTCCTATATATTCCCTATATATGTTGTTGTTGTTAAGTGCTGTCGAGTCGAGTCGATCCCGACCCAAAGTGACCCTATATAGGGTTTCTGAGGAGCAGCTGGTGAGCTTGAAACACCAACCTTGAAATTCAAATGGCTTTGCAGTCTGGCACCACACCAGGACACCTCCCTATATATAAATATCTATACATGCTCTCTATGGACTCCTGGTGTGGTGCTGTAGGCTCACCACTGGACTGCGAACCACAAGGTTGGCAGTTCAAACCCACCAGCTGCTCCTCGGAAACTCTAGACAGGGTCGAGATGAGTCAGAATTGACTCGATGGCACTTAACAACAACATACTTTTATGTCTCTCAAATTTATGTGTCCCCTGAACTCTCCACTCCTAACCAATGCCCACTAGTGACCTAAACATGGATGCTAACAGGCAACTAAGTGCAAGTCCAAAACCAAACTCCTCACCTTCACCTCTGCCTGAGCCCTCTCCTCCCAGTTGTTCACTCTCATTAAATGTGTCTCTTGGACCAAAAACCTTAGTGTCTTGTCTTATACTCAGACCCACATCTACTCCGTCAGCAAATCCCACCGGCATGGCTTTCCAAAGACACCCAGAATCTGACCGCTTCTCACTATTTTAACTGTACGACTGACCTCTTACTGGAATTACTGCGATGGCCTTCTGACTGGAATCCCAGCTGCCACTCTTGGCCCCACGAGCCTATTCTCATGAGCACTGACTCTTTTCACAATGCAGATTAAGTCCCGCCTCTCTTCTGGCTCATACCCCAGTGCGCTCCCTTTCAGCCTGTAAACCGAATGACTCATTCTCTTCTCCCACATGCTGATCCAGCTACCAAACACACTAACAACACCCAATCTCAGCCCTTTGCATCAACTCTTGCCTATGTAGGAATAAACTAGGCAGATCCTTAGCTGACTAGTGTCAGTTCTGTGGCAGACTAGAGCTGCTGCAGGTAACAATCATGTCTGCGTGGAAACAGCTGCCAGGGTTCTCTTCCTCATCTTCTTCAGGACTTTACTTGAATGTCTCTCTCCATGAAGGTTTCCTTGACCACCCCACTTCAAACTGTGACACACACGCACACACACAGTATCCCCTTTTCCTCACTAATGGTTGGCCAAGATTCTCATCACTATTTGACAGACTATATATTGAATGTCTCTAGATCAATGCTGCCCAAGAGAGTGGCTATTTAAATTTAATTAAAATTTAATTAAAAACACCTATGGATACAGTACCTCAAAAGAGGGAACAACAAATCTTTATAGTGAGGATCATTCCCACCCCCTCAATACACAGGGTAGACAGGGATGGGCAACCTGGACATTGGCTACCCAAAATGAGGGGCTACAAAGGCAAGAAGTGACTGGCTTACATTCTTTCAAGAAGGAGCCTAGATCCAGAGGGCATGGAGGAAGGTAGAATCTCCACTGAGAAGTATCCAATCTGTCTGGGCAGGGCTGATGAAAGAAGATGAGGATAGCACTCATGTGGCACAATACTGAATAATTACCATCAGGACTGACTGTGAGGGTTGGAAATGTAAAGGTAGACGTTTTGTAGCAAAAGGAGGGGAGTGGTTGACTTTGTAGTCCAGGAGCGGAGGTCCCTGGGACAATCAAGGGAGAAGAGTGGAGTGAGGGACCCTACCCACAGAAACAGTGATGCCAGAGATGGTGGCAGAGATGATGATATGGAGAGATGGAGTGGCTAGGGACTCTAGACCCAGGGAGGGAGAGGGGCTGTGTGCTGACGACTGGGGGACAGGCTTGCAGGATATACCCTTTGGTTGGTTGATGGTACATGGAGGGGATTGTAACCATGGCAATGAAACAATATACAATAGGATGAATGTAAACCTAATGTTCTCCCATGTAAACTATCACATAATTCACAATAAAACATTTAAAAAAATTAAAATAAAAATTCAGTTCCTGAGTCACGCCAGACGTATTCTAAGCACTCACTAGCCACATGGGTCTGGCAGCTGCCATACTGGAAACCGCACATAGACAACCGGTCCTTCATCACAGAAAGCTCTATTGGAGAACGCTACTCTAGAGGGTGAGCTCCGCAGATGCAGGTATCTTGTCTGCTTGGTTCAAGGCTGTCTCCGTGGGACCCAGAACAATGTCTGCACAGTACAGTTGCTGAATGAATGACCTTGTTAGTTGCCCAATTTGTTGTTGTTGTTAAGTGCCGTCGAGATCGAGTCATTTCCAACCCATAGCGACCCTGTATAGGGTTTCCGAGGAGCAGTTGGTGAGCTTGAACCTCCACCTTGCAGTTCAAACCGACCTTGCAGTCCAGTACATTAACAACCCACAGTGACACACCAGGACTCCAGCTGCCTCATTTTCTGTCATACATGATCATGTTGACATGCATGTTGCTGGTGACTACTGCAGAATAGAATTTAACTCATACGGACCGTGGACGACAGAGAACTGCCTCATAAGGTTTCCTAGGCTCTAACCTTCACAGGATGGAGCAGCACTAGACTGCTAACCACAAGGCCAGTGGTTCAAACCCACTGCTGCTCCTAAGAAATCCTATACAGGGCACTTAACAACAACAATCTTCCCAGGAACAGACCACCAGCTCTTTTCTCCAGTGGAGTCACTGGTAGGTTCAAACAGCCAACCTTTTGATTAGTAGCCAAGCACTTAACCACTGTAACACCAGGCCTCCGTGTCCAACAGCCCACAAGAGAGCACGTGGCAACAGCCACCAGCGTTTGGACCACAGAGGAGCAGTCCTAGTCATGATCACCTTGTTGTTCCAAATCTATCCCCACGTTGTTTCTCACGTGTATTTCTGTCTGATTCGGGTCATAGGACACGATTCGTTAATGACAGCTCTCTTTATGTAGTGCCCGCCTATAAACTGTGCAGACACTTCGCTTATGAATGTAAATGTCATGTGACCAAAGAGAAGACACTCCCCACATGTGCACACACTCACAGAACGGGATGAACAATCAGCTCCGGGCTGTAGGACTTAATCACAGATGCAGCGTCTTTGGTACAGAACACGTGGGACAAATCTGCACCCTGAGAAAGGAGGCAAAAGAGGCCGACTGAGCACCGAGGAATGCGCTCACAGAAACACCAACGCTGGTTGTCAGGAGCAAAGCATTTCCCAGTAAGATACAGGATCCTCAAGTTACTCAATATGACATGGAAAAGAAAAGATAAAAATTCAAGGATAATAGTTAAACCACAGCTATGTGCTTTAGGAAATGGATCAGTAACATGAACGAGATGCCTAAAAATAAAATCGGCAGGGTCAAAACCTTACAACAGAAACTCAGACCAGTTCAGACTTAAAAGTTACAATCCTCCTTTGGAATCCTTATCATCTGTGAGGGTCCATATGGTGCCAGGGAGCTGAGGACCCCAGCCCACTTCCTGCCAGCTGTTCTAACTGGACAATCAGGAGTTGATCAAAATGCACAGGAAACGGCCTTGTTTCATAGGTTTTAAGTATGCTTAAGTTAGGACCTGAAAAGGCATCTAAGATCCCTTTTGTGAAGTATGAGGCTATTAAAATTTTAGTTAAAAACAACAACAACAAAGGTTTCAAGTTATTTTGTCACTGGAAAAGAAGTCAGTCTGGATTTATAGGTTTTCTGATTACCTGTGGTTATTATTCTAAGATGCTATTCAGATTTCATTAGAAAGCATTTGCTGTAATCACATTTAAATACGATAACTCTTTACTAGAAAAGTCTCAATAAAGAAGTTTTAAGTCGACATACCACTTTGAGAGCTGAGATTGCTGCGAAGTACGGGGCTCCAGTGTACCTAAAAAACAGGATGTTCAAAGTCACAATACGGCTAAGAGTGAGGTACCTGTCACAGGTTTGCCCGTAAACAATACAGACGGGAAACAGTTATCATGGGGCTCAAGAAATGCTCGATAAACATGGAACAGAACCAGAAAAGTAAGTTTTTTATTATAAAAAAAACAACCCTTTGCACAATTTCTATAGAATCAACATCTGGCTTCATGTAACGGTGCATACGGGGGACTTTAAAAAGCTCACGGGGAACTTCCTGTATCTTTCAATTCCATCTCCACATACTTTTTGAAGCCCTCTCATATGTTCAAACTATAGGGCTAAAAAGATAATGAGATTTTACCATATGGGAGACAACCTGAAGTTCAGAGAAATCAGATGAATAGACAGGGGGCAGTTCTCAGAAAGTGACAGTGAGCCGAGGGGACATTTTGTGTGTGTGACCAAGTAACAACAAACGACTTCCTCCTGCTTCCAGCATGCCTGTAACTTCATTTTTAATGTCAAGTATAGTAGAAAAAAAAAATCGCAGAACTTAATAGAGCAATTGTAAGCAATTGTTATGCTAATTCCCAGGAGTATTATGAACACACGGGAGAAAGAAATCAGTGAGCACAGAGAACCAGAAAGTTAGTACATGTTACATACATGAAGCTTTCTCACCGAGCCACAAGAGCAAAGGACTTAACATGCATTCATTCACACACAGACATACAGACACACACCACAACATGATGATAAAGCCCACTGATGTTGTTGTTAAGTGCCATAGAGTCGGTTCCAACCCATAGCGACCTAGAACAGGGTTTCCAAGGCTGTAAATCTTTACGGGAGCAGAAAGCCTCATCGTTCTCCCGCTGAACGGCTGGTAGTTTCAAACTGCCGACCTTGCGGTTCGCAGCCCAATTCGTAACCATTATGCTACCAGAGCTCATGTATAAGTGCATTAGAATAACCAATAGGTGTCTGTCAACTCGACTGACAAAGACAAATACTAACTATTGTTTAGGGTCCAGGTATACTTGAACACTGTTGGCGGCAGGTCACACTAGTTTAATTCAGGGGGAGGGGAAATGGCCAACATTTACCACTTTGAACTGCAAGGTTGGCAGTTCAAGCCCACCAACTGCTCCTTGGAAACCCTATATAGGGTGACTATGGGACAGATTTGATGCACTTAACAACAAACAGGTATATATATTTTGATCCAGTAAAAATTCTAGGAATTTATCTTCCAGAAATGGCTGGATAATATATAATGTTTCGCTCTAGGATAAGCACTGGACCACAAGGTCAGCTTGAACCACAAAGTCAGTGGTTCAAACTCACCAGCTGCTTGCTGGAAACCCTTTACAGCATCACTATGAGTAGAACTGACTCCATGGCACTTAACAACAATAATATATGTACAGGGATATCCACAGTCTTTTCAATAGCTTCATATGCATGTGAAAGCTGGACAATAGATGCATCTGAGCTATGGTGTTGGAGAAGGATACTGAAAGTATCTTCTGATTGCCAGAAGAACAAACAAATCTGTGCTGGAAGAAGTACAGCCAGAATGTTCCTTAGAGGCCAGGAAGACAAGACCAGTCCCTGGAGAAGAACATGATGTTTCGTAAAGTGGACGGTCAGCACAACAGAGGAAGAGCCCCCAACGAGATGGACTGACACAATGGGTTCAAGCACAGTAACGATGATGAGGATGGTACAGGACCAAGCAGGGGTCTGTACTGCTGTGCACGGGGTCACTATGAATGACCAGGCGGTGTCTCATTC